CTTGACCCTGCATTTTGTGTTAAATATGGGGACGACTGTGGATGAAGTTTACATTTTCCAAATACCAGCCAACAACTAAAAAGCAGCAGGAAATCTTAGACAAATGTGTTTGACTCCCATCATCATAGAAGTGAATTTTTCAGTGCATCCAACCTTTGTTGGTAATTCCAACATCTGTAAAATTAATGCCCTCGTGCGTCGAAGCAGCTCTGGCAACTTACGACATGTTGCTTTTCTTTTCCTCTGTTTTTCTGAACATCTAAAGAAGTCTAAAGTCTTTTGCGGAGATGAAATTGGAATCTGGATGTGAAAACAGCAGAAGGAACAGTTTGTTCTAGATGTCAGATTTTGGAAACGTGTCGTATTTTGCAGCCGCTCCGAATGCGGCAGTAAGTTTTCAGCTCTAAATACACAAGCCTGTAACGGAGATATCAGCAGATCTTGTTCAACAACACCCGAGGCAACGTGGGGGGTTATTATTAAAATGTCAAGCTTTGTTTTGAAAAGTAATTTTTATCACTGCATTTTAACGGAAGAAGGAAATGAAACTTATTCACTTCTCAAATTCTGCCAAAAGTGTGTGAAGATGTCACTGTTTTAACTTTATTTTGGCATTTATGCATCTAATAATTCAGTAAGTTGTTTGCAAAAACTAAAGGAAATGTATTCACCATTTCAGTGATTTAAAAAGCAACTTAGAGATTAAAGAGCATCATCATCTTTTGTCAGGACTTTGATTCAAAACTACCAAACAAAGCCATGTAAAATAGATAATAAAAAAAATAATTTGTCCTTTTATTCATGCTGTATTAGAAAATTACATGTCAAGAATTACTGATACTTTCATTCTAATCATTAGAAAAATCTTTGAGGCCAAACTGATCAAATGTTTTTTTTTAATTGCTTAACAGCTTTTTACAGATTTACTTTTAAAGATGATCTCTAAGTTATTAAGGAGTGAAGAGCTTCTTGCCATCACCCTAATCTTTAGCTCCCTCCACCGATTCTCCATCAGATTCAAGTCATGTAAATGTCACATACTGTATTAAACATAAATCTGAGCGATTTGATTCACTTACTGTCTTGTTCATTTCTGTTCTTTGTCTTCAAGTTACTGATATTTTCATTGTGCAATCTAGGCTCTTTTTTTTTTTTGCCTCTTACAGTTTCCACAAATAAAAAGTAGGCCAAGCAGAGAAAGTATCACCTGCATAAAAGTAAAACACGGCAAAAAAAAAAAAAGGACTCACTTTGTCTTCATGTGCGAGTTAGTGATTCCTAAGGTTTTAAACCCATTGAGGCGACTTCCGCCGTCACATTCACAACTCTAACTGATCTACATCTATAAAGACTGGTGAGTCCATGACCCCACTTCATTCAGGTGCCGGTCATCGAGATATTCAAACCGAGTTATTTATTAACCTCGAAGCTCTGACTGCTCCCCTACATCTTGAGCAGCTGCTAATGGCATCTTCCATCTCAGGTTTGGCCTTTGCAGACTGCCGCGCCGCTGAACAACACTTGCTACAACGCTGCATTGTCCCCGTGGTCCTTCTCATGTTTGATATTGTATCTTTCTCAATTGCAATCACTTACTTTCATCCAGAAACAAACACACACACACACACACACACACACACACACGCAATATAACAGACTGCGATTGTGCAGGGGCGGCGTGTCTGAGTCATCTGTGTCGTGTTGTGGGAGTCAAAAATACATTTTCGTGGTGCAGATCCAAAGTGAGGAGACAAAAATGACTACATTTCATTCCTTCTGTTTTTTTTTTTTTTTTGTTCCCTTTCCCATCACATATGAAAGTCGGTATATAATTTGCAGTGTTTACTATCTATTTGTGCTCTCCAGAAGAGGAAGAGAGAAGCTCTCGAGTCTCGGACTCAAAAATAAAAGCCTTTCCTCCAGTGCTACCAGCTGGCACAGGCCGCCTCCTCTGCTCCCTTCCTAAATCCACTGGCCTCTCAGGCCTGTTTAACACTTTACCCAGCAAGCTATTAAACCCCCGTTTAAGTCTTGCTGAGTGACCCGCTCCATTGTTCTGCTCAAGCCTTGTAAATCCAGTCAGAGAGGCTCTGCTGCAGCTCCTTATATTCAACCAAAGGCAAACCAGGGAGCCAAGGCAATGCAGGAGGAAGTTCAGCTGTCAGCCTCCTGTTCTATGAGGAGCTCTTTTCACTATTGGCCTTCAGGGCTTGTTGAAGCTGTATTTGTGCTCTGGATTTAAACTTCACAAAGAATCGCCTTATTTAGACTTTTTTTTCCCCCCTTTCGGTCCAATCGCGAGCTTCTTACTTGTATGTGAAACGCAAATTCTAAAGGTCGACTTTATGACACACCTGGAGGCCCAGAGGAAATTAAGGAAATTGCAAGAAATGGAAAAACATGTCTGGGGAAATTATAGCTGTGTCAGCTTTTACGGGGTTCAAAGTGTGACCTGGTATCCACTTGTGCATTTACAAAACAGGGCTGCCTGTGAATGGAAAATTGGTTGCAGATGGAAAGAAAATGACCAGCCAAAACTTTTGATGGCAATAAATGGGTTTCAAAGAAGTGTTGCAGAAATCAACAGCGTTTTTTTTTATTTTTTTTTATTTATTGTTTGTTGCCGTCGAAAGAGCACTCTTCCACCTTTATGCACTTTGGAAAAACAGGCCGTCTGTCAGCAGCCTTCATTGTTTGGCTGTTTGAAGTAACACTTTTTGGAAAGAGCAATAAATGCAAATCTTTTGGGAGGAAAAGTAAATACAGGCCTAACTGATTCAGGCATAGCCATATGAAATGAATGTCCATAGACCTCCATGTCTCTAGTGTACCCAGATAATAATGTTCAGTGTTGGCTGGAAATACGTCTCTTGCACCTGTTCTGGTAGACTAACCAGGTTTTGTACATACTGGACACATGTTATCACCAACAACCTCAAACAGGTTTTGTGTGTATGAATCATATTTTTCTTTTTCAATGTCGCCATCTAGGAACAGCAGTCCTTCTAAGGGGGTAAAACGAGTTTGTCCGTGTCGACCTTATGGTCGTAAGGTCGAGGTGGGGCCCAACCTGGACAGATCACCAGAGCGAGACACCGAACACTTTACCACACACCCTCAACTCAGGGCAATTTAGAATCTCCTTTTCACCAAATACGCTTGTTTTGGACTGTAGAAGGAAACCTGAGTCCTCAGAGAAAACCCACACAAATCATTGGGAGATTATGGAGACTCCTCACAGAAAGGCTCCAGCTGGAACTGAACCCACATTACTCTGAGGGAACCAACATAAAGAAGAAAAAAAAAAGTCTATATAATATAAATCAATACCATATTAGTGGTAAACCGACTGCAGATGACAATTGCAGAGACGGATTTTGTCATTTTGGTCAAGTTTCCTTCTTCTTCACTGTTTTCATCTGCCTTTTTGCCTGAGACATACTTGTTGCTTATCGTTGCGTGGCAGAGAAGGAGACGTGCGTCTCAGATCTGGACTTGAGTTACACTTAAGGACCAAAAACAAAGTCTTCAGATTGGAGTCAGAATGTGAGTCTGTGGTTTACATAGCATCACCCCTAATTAGAGGTGAAGGTAAACCATTTGTGAGCCACAGACCACATGTCTGTCTGACGGAGCAGAGCTGAGTCTTCTATGTGAGGGTGCGTTTGATTTATTGCCCGGGAACTTTTTTTTTTTTTTTTTCAGAATGCAGCCGATTAATTGCTCGTATGCTCACCATTGTTCTGACAGTCAGTAAAATATTAACACGTCTCCATCAGATTTGTTGCTGTTGTTCGGCTAGCATCGTTAAAAAGACACATCTGGCTTTCCCAAATGAAAGCACGCTGTGTTCTATCCAGATAGTTTACTTTCTTAATGATGGCCTTTGTTCACACATGTGCACCATTTCTACAGATTAACCAGGATTGCAACTCAAATGAAGCAGCAGTTAACTAATGATAACCTTATTTAATCCCATGCTAAACTGTGCTGCTTGCACTAATGAAGATTTCTGATACGTTCTGATTGAGTCGCCTCAAAATTATTTGATCCCTCAAGGATACTCGTGGAGCATCATAATGTCTGTAAGACATTAGACGTGCCTCATTCAGCAAAACTGTGTGAATTCGACACATGCGCACAGTTCAGAATTGCACAGATTTAATATCCATTAGCTTAGATTTTATGTTCTCAGAGAACCAACATTAAATTATATGTGTTAAATAACTGCACTAAACTGCAGTTAAATGTTATTTTTCACTTGATCATTTTAATTAGGAATATTTGCTTTGAAGGACCTTGTATTTGTTTTATGATAAATCAGCTTGCCATACTTGTGTTGACAGAGACGTTTATATGGGAGAGATACTTTCGCTTTGCAGTGAGCTTATCACATACCTTTATAGGAAACATATTTCCTAGTTTTGGTCCACATTTAAAAGCACATAAAAAAGAATAGAAATCCTGCTGTAAGCTTAATATTTGGGTCTTTGGGATTGAATGTCCCCAGCTTATTGCCAGTGGCAAATTCCACAGCTGAAAGTAAAATAAACTTAAGATCATATTTAAACTGCTCTAATTACATTGATGGTTTTTTATATCATAAGTCATTCAACGCCTCCTATTTCGATCCTTATGAAGTTGTATTTTAAGCAGGTTTGGGCTTCTGGATATTTTTTTTTTCTAATTTACATGACATCCAATTCAAATCATGTATGCTTAATTATTAGGTAAAAATATTTTTGAATACTTTTGATGACATTTCTGTTACGCCAGTGACAGAAATGTCATCAAATCCGCCACGAGGAGCAGAGACCAATCCTATTTTCTCCTATGTCCCTGCTGCGCCATCATCATCCACACGTTCCTAAAATATTCCAGATATCCTGACAGATACTCATTCTTTTCATGGTGACGACGGCTGCAAATATTCAGCTGCCCTGAACTTGCTTCTCTCTGCCGTTGAGGTATGAAGCAAAGCACACCTTAAAATAACTTACATTCGCGGGCTTACAGGGCCGCCTCAGTCAGACGTGTGTGCTCTGCTGCGATCCGGCTGATAATTCCCCCCTGGCTTTGACTCAGTGAAGGCCAGCCGCGCTCCTCCGCGTTAGCCACCGGCCCCCGCTGATGGCTCACTCTTCTGGTTACTCTGGAATGAGACAAACACAAGCATTGGGATCCGAGCCCCATTTAGCATTCGGACTACGACAGAAAATGTCCAGAAAATTAACCTACTTGATGTTTATCTTTGCAACACATTCAGATCTGATAAGGTGTCAAAATCAACTTTGTCCGTTTATTTTTTGTTGACTTTATGGATAATTGACTGATCCTCCATTATTTTACTCAATACGAATTTGATTTATTCTTTGCCGATTCTTTTCATAATAGAAAGATTCAATCCAATAATATGGTACTATGTTCACAAATGAAGTGGTCACTTAAGTGGTCATTTCACTTAAGAAACTGTGATTCAAGTCCCAGAATTCAACTCCTGAGAGAGTCAAAGTTCATCTTTATCTCATTAATCCATTGATAGAGGTAAGTCTTTATGCTTGAAGCCACAGAGAGAAGCTCTGACAGGTGGTTTTTCATATTTTCCCGTAAAATGGTACATTTGATTTATTAGCCATGGTACATTCCTGGATGTGGCTTATTAATAACTCATAACAATTTAATTATGTTAGTTGGAGATTTAAAGTCTTGAGCTCATGGATTTCTCTCAAACTTAAAAATTTTAACTCAGGTCTTTTCAAAGCTTAGCTTGTCGACATTTTCGCTGCTCAGCTGGCGTCAAACAGTCACTTCAAAATAAAAGCACTTCCTGTTCAATGCATTGCAATAACATGCTTTCATTCGCGCACTACTTTGTGTATTTACTTTGTAACTTGTAATTAGTTGATCTTATTGTGTACTTTGTACATGTGGCTCTCAAATAAGCTTGTAAATCCTGCAACTCATAACATTCTTAAGAAAAGGCTCCGACTCTAAGCATCCGGCCAATTTGAACACAGGGACTAAAAAGTGCCACCTATGTCATTACAAATACATTTACAGATTCTTCACAGAACAAAAGTCATCTCATTGTTGCTATTTTTTTTCTATGTAAAGGGCTGAATATCATTTCTTACTCCATCCATCCATCATCTTTACCTGTTTATTGTTGCAGAGTCACAGCTTTTCATTATTCCTCAGTGATTTTCAAAATAATTCAGCTTTTTTTTTTTTTTTTTTTTGCATGTTTACATTTAGGAGTATTTCAAACAATATTAAGTCACATCGTCACATATTAAAAGACTGCTGTACAATTGTATAATTTTTATGTGTGCCCCATAGCAGTAGATTGCCGTAGACAGACAAGATGGCATGCATCCAGTGAGAGAATGTTTATCGAAGTCATCAGAGAAACGAGGCCTGACTTGGGTTTGGAAAACGGATTTCTGAGCTTCTCTGTATACCTGCAGTATCCTATGGTCAGTTTGGGGGAAACAGGAGGAGCAATTTTTTTCTTGGAGTTGCTGCACACAAGGGCTCGAATGAGAACATAAGCATTACTTATTCGATAAAAATAAAAACTACTCCATCCACAGAAACTTTAAATTATTTATCTTTCCTACTAAAAATAAAAAAAAATGCATAGGCTTGTTTAAATATGCTGCTGTTGCCTCACACATGGATCATTTTCCTTGGCAGCTCAACATCTAATCTCAGTTGCATCCTGAAGCTCATCACTCATTACAAATCTAAGACCCTCTTCTTGATACACTGCGAGTGTTTCTGGCTAAAATGGAAATGATCTGTCCAGTTGGACGCTTTCTGCCAAAAGACGCCTTCGGCAGAGCTGGCCTGGCTGTTCTCCAGGTTCCACACTGGATGCATGCTCTGATGCAACGCAGCAGAAAATGTTGACTCAGGCCTCTAAAAACATCAGGCGGGACAGAGAGAGACTGTCTGGTCAACAGCCACAGGCAGAGAACAGCAAGCACCTTACTAATCCTCACGTTAAAGTAAACTTCACAAACTCCCACAGCACTCGTGTTCAACCGCTTTGATGGGGCCAGCGCTTGTGCAAAGGCCCCAACATCGGCGGTTTGTTTCCCAGCAGCGAATTCCCACATGCCGCATGGAGCGCCTACTTTATTTCAACACTTCAGGACAAGTGAGGCAGTAAAAATAACAAGCAGGTAGCGGAGACGGTACAGGAGCGGGATGAGGACGAGGAACAGGGCGGACACTTCTCTCTCCTGACAGCTTGGACTCTTCTCTAACTCCTTCTGACACTCTGGTTCATGCATGTCGTTCATCACAGCCTCTGGGTGACAGGCTGTATGCGAGTGTGTGTGTGTGAGAAAGCTTGGACATCTCAGCGTCTTCATGTGCACTTTCCGTAATCATCCACCCTCGTTCGCTCTGTATCTTTAGCCAGACTCTGAATCACCCACCTCGTCAGAGGCCTGTTTATAGCCTCGCAGAAGCAGAAACAAACTCTCTCTGCAGTCATTATCTCAATCTGCGTTGATTGTAATAATCAGGGATCTCTCTAATGAACAAAAGATGAATGCGCTTAGAGAGCGAGTGGCTCCACAAATTGGTAAAGTCTCATATCCAGAGCAGCTCTACAACCAGCAGGCTGTCACCTTTATCGGTGCGTCCTGTCGGGTTTCTGAATATCAGAGGCTCGCTGGAACAAAGAGCCGCTTGATAGAAACGGGAAATGACAGTGACAAAGAGAGCCTGTTGATGAGCGGCGCAGATCTGACTAATGAAAACCAGTTACACACCCTGATGCTGCTATTCAAATATCATGGAAACTAGCATGCACTTGTAATATTTACGTTGATATATTGTTTTTTTTTAGCCCACGCTGTGCTGTCGCTATTCTTCACATGAAGAGCAGTGAGAAGGAGAAACTTTCAGTAAATCCCAGGTGTCCTCCTGGGATTATTTCTGTTATGAAATTATGTTTTTTTAATTAGATTTTACAGAAAAGGAAGTGAAGTCCCAGGATAAATCGAAATTTCTCAGCTGATTTGGTAGATGCTGAAAAGTATTTTTGGTGCATATAAGCATAAAGACATAGTTGGAAAAAATGGCTGTTGTGGAGTAGTGATTAAACAAATAGCTGAAATATAATGAGTTTTGGTAATTACCTTTTAAAATTGAGCAGATGAAATGGCCACATAAATATTTAAACATAAAACATTTAAGAGTTTGATGAAATGTGTTAAAACAATATTCGACATGGCAATAATTACTAGTTCGCATAAAAGAAAAAAAGAGGAAAAAAATTTAAAACCCAACATCAATCTGTGCAACTCGCTTAGAATCAAATAAACGCACTGAAACTATCAGTTTCATTGCACACAACCTTTATATTCATATTTTATTTTGTTTAAATAAATATATATTTATATTTTTTAGTTCTGGGTATCAACTTTCCCAGAAATGGTCTAAAAAAAAAACCCTCCTGAAGTTAGCCATCTCCACAAAGTGATAATTTTACACCCACCAAGCAACACTGCAAAGGTTCATGTGAACCAATTTAAATGAAGATCTCTGCTGGTGTTATCCAAACAGATCAAACATCTGGACGAATGACTCTTCCCAGAACAAACCGCGTAGTTTTGGACAGCCAACCTAAAATATAACCACCGAAAACTGAAAGTCTGGGGCATGACGCCACTGAAATGGGGCATAAACTCAAAAGACTGCACAGGCATCCAACAGCTGGTTTATGTCTCTCCCAGCCACCAAATGTGGGTTCGTCATTAGCCCAGCTAATTTTTTTGGTTAAGAGCACCAGACCTGTCGAAGGAGTAGGAGGGCCGTAGTTGTGGTGGTGCTGGGGGAGAGTGAACGACTGTAGACAAAGGAATTTGCCTTATTTGTTGTTAAATGTCATGGCGGGCTAATTGTATTTCATGAAATGTCATTTAGCTTCAGACCAACAGATGAAATGTCACTTCTCCACATTCATGTGAAATGCCACGGATTAGGTTTCTCCCCGATGTGGAGGGGGGCATCACTCAACCTCTGCTCTGTGTTTGTATTTCCACAGCAAACAAGCAGATCATGATGCGACGCTGGTGTGAATTTAAAACATGCCAATAATATCCGTCTGGTAGAAACAAAACGCAGTGGCGACAAATTGTGCCTTGTTCCTTGAATTTGGCCTCCTCCTCTCCCCGTCTTTAGAGGAACATGTGGAGGAGGAAGAGGAGGCTTGGCGATGTGCCCGCGGAGCAGGAGAGAAAAGTGAAGCCTCTCTCCTCGCCTTTAATCATAAAGGAAGTTATCCGGTGTGTCATTTGAAGTTGGGTGGCGCCTAAATAAAGCCCCACTCCTCACATTCACACCGACACGTGCCAGCCTGCCGGCTCCCGCTGGATAACCGAACAGAGAGCCTTTCATGTTCGCCTCTGCAGGACAAATTGTGGATCCAGTGGGACTCCACAAAAAATGGGGGATTTGTTTTCCGGACTTGTTAAAGACTCCTATCAGAGGACAGCTGTTTGACGTGATCCAGAGCCGACGGCGAAGCCTCCCAAAGACGGCGGCCTGCTCCGGGGAGGCCGCCGCCCTGCCGCAGAATGAGACTGCGCCTCGTTTTGAGTGCTCATGTTTCAAATTTGTTTTGTTTTATATGAGCTTTATTCACTGTGACGTACACAGATGTTTGCCTGACATTTATCAGTTGTTTGTGAATGGGTTGTATTTTGCTGTCATATTTACTGAAACTACCTCAACTGCATCCAGCTGCATAAACGCACAACAGTAAGTTCAGAGAACATAGTTAGACCTCTGCATTGCTTTGTTAAAAATAAAACGGCGCATACTTATTTGGGGGGGTTATGAATGTAAGGTCAAAGAAAAGTTTGGACTTTTTTTTTTTTTCAAATAGGTCAACAGTTTCAAAAGCTAATTTATCCAGATGGACTTCAGCTGGTTTGTGCAAACACACTGAACACCACGGAGATTAGTCAAAGCTCATAGTATAAACACGTACAGGGATGCACGCTGTGTTTTGTTTACAGTATCAAGATAAAATTTCAAAGACTCACTGTTCTCAAGATAAAAAAAAAAAAAAGAAGACTGCAAGGTACTTTCTAGAACCTACACGCTGCTTTCTTAAACAGCTTGTAGGTTTCA